AACAGAGGTTCATTGGTTCTGGACCTCCGGTCTCTTGTCGTCTAGGTGGAATATAAGAGTTTGAGCTAGCATGAGCCTGTCTCATGCTCAAGTCTTCCTGTTCCGCGACTGATATCGCTTCTTCAAGCGTATTCAGCTCTAGGCGGAACAGGTGGCTCCTGACGGGCCCTTCTGCGAGCCCTAGCATGAACATTGTAATCAACGTGTGTTCATGAACTGGGTTGGCAGGTATACTACTCGCAAGGAGTCGTATATGTTGTGCGTGAGCGTGAACATCACGCTTGCCCTGCTTGAGTTTCAGGAGCTCTGAACGAGCTCTGAACTCAGCGCGTGGCGGCTAAAACGTTTATCTGAGCCGGGACTTGAAGTCATCTAGCGACCTAAACACATTTGGGTCGCTACTCTCGAGCCCTAAGGCTCAAGTTTTGGCACGTCCTGTCAAATGGGTCTGAGCAAATGTAAGTTTTATTTCCTCATCGTCGACACGACGTGCCTTCAAGGCTCTGTCGAGTTCGACAAACCATAGTAACAGGGAGTCCTCCGGGACTCCTCTGTACTTTGAGATGTCAACCTTCATGACCTCGGGACGACGCGAATGTGTCGTCCCGCCCACATCAGCATGGAACTGCTGCTGTCTCAACAGCTCACTCTGTTGAGCACCGAGTTCTCTCAACTGCTCGGCCTATTGAGAGCCTTGCTGGTGAAGCAAGGCTACTTTCTTTCTTCCGGCGACAAGTTCACTTTGGATGAACTTGGCTATAGCGGCATGTTGTTGGTCTCTGTCTAGAGACTCCAACATGGCGCTAATAGCGAACTCGCCTACGGTAGAACTCATGCGTTCTACCGCACTCCATTAGATGTCACTCAAAGGGTTAAACCCCTCACGCGTGGCGTGAAAGGTCTCCTCATCATCCAGCATGTTCATGGTGGATGATGTGGAGGTGGTCGCTGGAAGGACTACAAAGTGCTACCAGGTGTATTGGGGCACACCCTTGCGTGAACTCAACGCAAGGGTATCGTGCACCGACAAGCGTACACGAGGCAACCGAGGAAGCGGTAGGTAAGACAGAGGCAACACTGTCTTAGGGAAAAGTAGAACTGTAGTATTAATATAATTAATTCTTTAACCACTGTCTATCTGTTTGACTTAACTTAATTATACTTATCTAACTGAATGTATGACGACGTCTACTCACCACTCATTGCGCGCGTCTTGCGGCGATTGGTGGGTTGATATCGTCAAGATATCAACCAATGAGCAGACTCTTTGGTCGACCCATCAATATCACCACTATTGGTGATATTGTTATAAGAATATTCAACATAATATTCTTTATTGTCATTATCTCTCAAATGACAATTTCCATGTAACGGGCTGCCCCGTTACATAATAGATACACGTCTCTCTAACAGATCAAAGGGGACACTGAACGATTTGTTTTTATTGAATGACCCCGTATCCTACACGTGCCTAACCTAGACAATAATTTCATAAATTAGTACCTTTTAATGATCTGTAATTTAATGACTGACGCACGTCAGCCTTCAGCAACTGATAAGGTGTTCTAAAATCACTAATACTGGATGTCCAACCACGTGTAAATACACATGATATATCGGTTATCAACCTATATGTAACCGTTATACACGGCCTTCCCCTCTGTAGGCTTTGCCGCACCTTCTTAAATAGCAGCTTAACTTTGTCAGCGATGCCGAAGAATCTCTCCTCATTGCCCACTTGTACCGCGTTCGAGTCGTTGTGCTCACGAACGTCCTGCCAAAGTCTCTCCGTGTTGACTCCGTCGGCGTGGCCGTCCACCACGAGATCCACTGGAGCGACATCGGGCCCAAGAACAACCTTCGGATCGACAACAGGTGAGATTGCGTCACTACGAGCTAAAAGGTGAACTAGCGCAGCCACTGTGACGTACACCAGCCGCATGCTTCGTGTTGTTCCAGTCCAGAAGGCGAAACGCACTTGGTCGTGCTGACCGTTTTATTCAAAATGAGGTACCAGGAGCCACGTAGGATGCTCCCCGACCAGGATCAGCCATCGTGTCGAGAGGTCCAATCCTAAGGGCCTCGCGGACCGGCTACGGCGACGTCGACGAAGACGGGACATGGCCGACTGATTTGGCAACTGGACGTTCTAACGAGATGGACGAGCTGCAGATACAAATACTTTCTACGTGCTCCAATTTCATTGGTGTCAGTGCTCCGAACACGCGCCAACATCAACACACCTCTTCGTTACAATCGGACCAAACAATGTGCAGGAGATCGCTCGGCTCGAGAAGCTTCCGGCGAACCCACGATAGCTGATCGTTTGACATGGGAACAACTACCTAAATTGCAGCGATCTTCGGGTCCCACTTCGCACCAGAACAATAGAAAAGCCGATAAACCTCCGTAAGGGGCTGTCGGACAAACCTGAGACTGGTCTCACGACATTTGTGCTCGGAAAAAAAAATCCCTTCATATGTGCTGCTCAGACTGATGTGAAGGCGCTCTGAATCCCTTTCTCTGTCATTTGGCAAGCTCTGCGCGCTCCAATCCTATCTCGCGCCTGCTGCAGAGTCGTCGTAATACGGCCATCTCGCCACCTGCTAATTGACAATCTTTCAGCGCTTGATCCATCCGCTCCACTCAGCAGCTGGAATGCGCGAAAACGCCTCTCTGCCGACTCTGACGATGACTATCTGATCCTAAGTTCTTCTTCAACAACGATGCCTTGCGACGCTGTGCCTTCAGCTCGGGTATATGGCGGGCTGCAGATCCTATACAGGGCAACATGCGACTACCGGATCACGCATTGCATGAAGCGGTCGGTGATGATCGAAAGTTTCGAGCCCGTTTCTCCGTGCTGGAACCGCACCCGTATTTGATTGTCGACTTTTGTGTCGAGCTTCGATACCATGTCATTGTCCTCGCTATCAGAAAAGGCAGTTAAAGGAGCGATGGTGGCACCCTTGCAGGATTCGAGTCATGCAGCCTCGCAAGGCTCCATGCTACTAGTGATCGTTTTCTGCAGGATGTTTATGACCGTGTGCTTCGACGCTAAATGCCATCATGATAGCCCAGCAGACGCACGAGGACATGATATTAGTTCGAGGCGAGGACGACTAATCTGTCAATCATCCGCTAAGTCACTGCTGTGCGTCGTACATGAGATACATTGGTGCCACGATAAGCTGTTGCGTTCATGCGTAGATCCCGATGTAGGTTGGACGTCGTTGTGGCGCGAAGGCCAATGCGGCGTACGTCATCGAGCCCTTCACGGTCAAAGCACATAGCACATCACAGTCAGAAGATGAGTCGCGGTAAGGAGGCACGCTCTTACCAGATAAATGGCAAGACCTTGTGTTGATAGAACACAATGCTGCGTACTCCCGACGTCACGTTTACGTAGCGTGAGGAAGCGCGAGGAAGTAAAAGGAACTCAAAAGCTCTGTTTAAGAAAAAATATAACTGTATTTAATATAGTTAAGTTTCCTAATAAATATTCTTTGTCGTAAAAAACCTAGCTATATGAAACTACAATCTCCTATGTGGGTTTCTTGCTCACCACCCAATGCGCGCGTCCAGCAGCGATTGGTGGTAAATTTGGTTGATGTAGCGTCCACATCAACCAGTAGGTGTAGCGACCCGTCAAAGAACTATTACCCTCGGGGGTAATATTCCTCCAACCTTACATCTTACGGGTAATGTCTATTGAACAGTATCTAAATAGATAATGTTCAAAAATTGATACAAAGATATCAATTTTTATGTAACGGGCTCACCCCGCTACATACATGTTTACGTTCAGGAACCTGTGCCGTGAATGTATTACCACTGTATCCACCGTAGAATCAAGCTCAAACCAACGAATGGGATTGACTTCTCGCGGCATGCTACAAAAAGTACCTTGACTTGTTCGAGCTATAGTCGCGGCAGAAATGCGGATGCTCAGTTGCAGATAGTGTGGCTGGTTGAAGCCTGTAAACAGGAAGCATTTGTGGAGCATGAATACTGCGTATTTTAAGGTTTAGGGGCTAAGCGAAGACTCTGCATTGCAGTGGTGGCGGGCGGTACCGAGGAAAAGGATATTTGCCTAGTAAAGAGAAGGTATTGATTGAGCTACAGCTGTGTAACTGACAAGGATACGCGGCGTGTGTCAATGGGCGCGTGCATGATCATCAGATTGGCACAGAGGCTAATGTTGCGAAGTATGAAGCAGTGCTAGAGTAACTTGATGCACTGCCGCAAGAAACATATCGCTTTGTGATAAGTTACGAGTAGCACGTCAACATCGTCGCGATTCATGTGACATGAGCTGTATGTTGTACACCAAATTGTCGCGACAAGCAGTTCAAGTATAGGGCCACCTTACTTGGGTGGAGGATGGCGCATTGCACACGTGGTTGCGACCTACCCTGAACCGTGTTCGAAGTGGGTCGCGCAGTCGATTGCTACACGCAACAAGTCAACCTCTTCTTACTAATGCTTTCCGGGACACCACGACCTATGCAGTTCGGCAACATATTGCGCTCTGACACTTTTTGACCGACGACTCCGACAATCTTTACTTCAGTGACATCCACTCAGTCGCGTATAGGCCATGGCGACATTGGTGCAAGAAGTCAGTTGGAACCCGTGTTTTCTGCCTTTGTTAGACACTAATCACATAGCGTCCAAAAATTATTACGTCAAAGCATTGACGGGTGCGTCATGTCAAAACTGTCGAGCGTAAAACCAAAGCAACACCTTAAGTCTGACAACCTCCAATCAAGTTGTAATCGACATGAAAACACGTACCAGAAGCTGCATGCGCTGTGGGCGGATGGTAGAAATGCAGCGCGCCCAATACCCAAGTGCCAACGCCAAGCAGGTTTGGACGGTCAAAGAAGCATCCTACTTACCTTTGGCTTGCTGTCTTACGTCATCCCAAGTGATTCAAAACGACTTGGGAAAAAGGGTCTTCAGGCACCTTCAACGTAGCCGTAGCTGCGGTCACGGGATCATACATCCCTGAAATTCTTTTTTGTCTCAAGTTCGTCCAGCTTTCGATGTGGAAGGTTGTCAACGAACGTCTTGATCTCCTCCCTGATAGCTTTGACCTCCTTGTTGTCGTTCACTGTCCTCAAAGCCCGTAACACATTATTTTCAACGTGATTAACGAAATCCGGGCGCCAATTGTCGATCAAGTCCCATGCCGATTTAATGGCACCATCATCCGCTTCTTTGAGTTTATTCGTGACAGCTTTTTCTAGGTCAGCGAGCTGGTTTATAGTGTTCATGCAACCGGTCTCAAACGCTTTGATTTTCTCAGGGCCCACCATTTGGTATTTCCCCGTTTCCCAGGCTTTCGCAATCATGCGATAGCCCTCCTGATGGAGATCCTGCACTTTCTTCGTGATGAGATCCGCATCGCCAGCTGCAGCTCTAGCAACATTTTTCATTGCAAGTGGATTTAGCTCAGCTGTAGTAGGGCGACCACCCGCGTTCGCTACTCCGTTGGGGTCGACAGCGCGAGTAGCCCCAGCAGTCTCGGCAGTTCCGGCATCTTCAGTCACGACGAGAACCTTCTTGTGCCTCTTCACAGACGCCTCGAAGCGGTCCCCGATCGTTGAATCTTCGATCTTAATATCCTTGAACTTCTTCAAGAACTTCTGCAAAAGCGACTTTCCAGACAGCCACTTGAAAAGCGACGACCACCACTTGATCGGCTTCCCCAAGACCTTGTACTTCTCATTGAAGCTCGCAAGTCTATTCGACGCGGCGACCGTATAATCCAACCCTTTGTCCACTCCTCTGGCCCAGAGGCCAATTTTTTTAGCAGCCGTTTCAGCCACCGACGCCGCTTCTGTAGCAACTACTGCATTATTAGCTCTCTCCTCCCATTCCACCAACAGCGACGACTCATCGTCGTCGAATGACTCGCGCAGAAGCCTCTGCGTGTCCACGTCGTAGGCGTTGCCGTCCGTCACGCGACCGACAAGAGACACGTCGGACTCGAGGAGAGCGTTCGCGTCGGCACTAGTCGAAGTCGCGACACTGGCAGCAAAAACAGCGACGAGAGCGGCGGCAGCGGAGTAGACAAAACGCATGTTCTGCTTGTTCCAGTCGAAAGGGCCGAGCGAAAGTGATACGTGGCGGTGCTGGTGGTAGTGGCCGTGAGCAGTGGTAGTGGAGGTGTTTGTGGGGCTAGCGGTGGTGGCAGTCAAATTGCAAAGTGAGACTCGTGGAGCAGCACGCGCGTGCGCGGAGCTCTCCGCCCTTTGCCCAGCTATCGGATTCAACAGGTCTGATCCGAAGAGGCTCTTGACCGGCTTTGACGACGCAACGACGCGAGCCCTTGTTCAGTCTCTTTCAAATTGCCCATTGCAGTTTGGACCACCACGAGCGCTTTGTGCCCTTTGCAAGTCCCGAGATCTTCTTGCGGTGAGCGCTGCCAACAGCGGACAGTAAGAGGCTAAGCTCGGCGTGTCACAGGAACATAAAGAGCGACGAATCTGCCACTTGGAGCGCGCACGTCATCATTCCACTGACTGTCCGTTTGTACAAAGAGCTGCTCACGAGAACCCAAAGTGGTGCCAGAGCTTGTCTGGTCTTGAAACAGAAGGATTCGTGGCACTGGTGAGCCGGTAGTGTCTCGGGCACGCTGGTGATAGAGATGGGCCCTGCAGAACAAGCGCGGGCATGAGCCGCTGTACAAAGGACTGCACAGAAATGAGGTTTCGAGCGACCTTTCCAGTGCCTCCTCTATTATTTGTATGTGAAGCAGTAGACTACTTACAACGATCTACATGAGGTTAGTTATTCCAAAGGGCATAGCTACCAGTGAGTGCGCAGTAGGTGAGAGCCATCTCCTCAATGTCTTCGTTCTTTGTGCGTGCGTGTGTTTTGCGAGTCACGCCGAGACAAAACACTGGAATCCATTCACAAAGCAAGCACGTCTTTCTCACAACACAGTGCGTACGTTGCGGTCGATGTTCGCACTGCTGGACAGCTCAAAAAGGAGCGACACAGTGTGGTTGTGATGCGAGATGGCGCTCATGAAAGACTTGCTACTTGCCTACTGAAGAACAACAGAGCCGCACTGATTGGGGGGAAATTACAAGGAAAACATTTTTTTTCCGCAAGGGGGGGGGGGGCCCCTCCCCTTTTTTATTTTTGGGGTGTTGGGTGGGTTGTTGTTGTGGTGTGGGGTGTGGAGAATTGGGTTTCCCCTTTTTCTTTTTAGATAACTATCTTCCCAAAAAGGAAGGAGGGGTGGGGTTTTTTTTTTTCTTCCCCCCCCCCCACAACAACCCCCACCCCCCCACATAAATAGGTGGGGGGGGGGGGCGGGGGCCCTCCCCCCCCCATTGAGAGGGGGGGGGGGGGGGGGGGGGGGGGTGGGGGGTAGAAAGAAAAAAGGGGGCGCCGCGCCGGGGGGGGGGGGGGGGGGGGGGGGCGAGCATTGTATATTGTCTTACTTTCGCGGAAATGGTCGCTACTGCTCCTTCTCTTCTAGTGCGACGTAGATGGCGAGGAACGATGGTCTCATAAAGAGGTTGACGAGGAGGAGGACAATAAGCTACAGCTGGACGACGTCGAGCTCAAACAGCTGCGTGGTTGCAACTGACTGCCGCTTCCTGCGCTTCCTGGTTTGCGTCGAAGAGGATGAGAGTCATTGGCTGGAGTCAAAGGAAGAGGTTTGCAAGGCAGGCGGAGACGATAACCGCTTTGGGCTCATAAAGAGTGCAGCCTTTGTCGCTGTAGGGCGTAGTTGACTAACAAGATCAACGTCCAACGTGATACCTGCTCTGCGCTCGACGTGTTCGGGAAAAGTCACCGGGCAGCTCAAGGAGCTCTCCGCTATCTGAGCATACTATGCGAAACACCCACAGCAATACTGCCATTCCGACAACGCATACCATCAATGACGACAGCATTTGATGCGCGTTTAATTGTGCGTAAACAGTCGACTTTCTATGACAATCTTGACCTGTACTGTTGTATCTCGTATCTTGGCAAGAACCAAAGACCGATGACTCAGCAGTGATACAAAGAGGTCGGTGGACGCCGCATTGGACAACCTATTAGAGGCAACAACATCACGGAGAACACCATACCAGAGGGAGCAGCTTCATAGTGATTCTACCTGCTCTGATCGACTGGTGTGTAAAAGCGACCACAGACCCACAGGTATCCCAATGCTGTGCGATCGCTTCCTCAATCACATATGGCGGGGCAGCTCTGCGCCATCGATCTGCGCGTTATGCGAAAAAGCCCTTCGCTCGCATCAGGACTTCATTTCCGCGTCACTCTTTCCTTCTTCCCTCCTCCTCATCGCGATGTGCTTTTGCCAGACACGTCTTTCCTGCCGTCGCGTCGGAGTCACAGTGCCCAACGTCCCCCTTTCTGTGACATGCTACACAGCCAGGCGAGTGAGCTAAGAGATGGTCGAGTGGAATACCACTCGTGGATTCTCCCTCCCTCTCTACGTTGTCTCCCACTCTGTTGCTGTTGCTTTCTCGGGCGGCTACAGTATTGTCACGTTCTGGAGCTCACTCGCTGAAAAAAGTGAATTGAGGCGGCCTCATGTTTCGGGTACGCAAAGCGCTTCACACGCAGATAGAAGCGCGAGCGACCCTCTGATGCTGTCGGTAGCCTCTCCATTGTGTCACGCAATTGATACCGTCAAGTGGTCAAACGTCATTGTCGTCCGCTTTAAATAGTATTGTGAGCGCTCGAGTCACTAAAGGACGTTTGCTTGCGTACTGCGTCGCTGGAACTGACAACATCGAGCTTTCCGTACTGCTGCTACTGACCAGCGCATTCCACTCGAGTCACTTGTCGACTCGTCGTCGTACGTCTCACTAGAAGCACAAACCCTCTCCTGCCTATACGTACGCTCCAGAATGCCATTCAACAACTGCGTGTAGAACGGGCGTTGGTGCAGATCTTGGAACGTCTCATGACTGTTGTGCGTGAAATGCAGCCTAAAAGCGCCAGTGCTCCGCGTAAACGATACGGTCGATGATTGATCGGTGGTCAGCATGTCCCCACCATCCAGTGCTTTTGCACGCACCTGGACGCGTAGGCCGCACCACGTGCATCGGCTGCATTGCTGCTCGAAACGTACTCAACGTCTGAAAGTGCGAGGGAAAGGTCATCACCCCCTACGTGATCGCAACGTCTTTTCAAGTCGCTAGAGCCTCATCCACAAGCTATAGCGACTTAACATACCTTGCGCAGCACAGCAATCCAGCTGCTTTAACCAAAGTCGTGACACTCGTACCGCCTATGGGTCTGCTGTAGACGCACGGTGTCCCTTTGCCCCTATCGCTTACCACGCACGTCAGCGCGGCGATCAGCTGGCGCCAAGACGAGTCGTTTCGTCGGCGTTCCTCTGTCTGCATATGCTTGGAACAAAAAGACGCTGGGCATCGGCGTCGGGCCGTGCACAACCGTATGCTCTTCACATCAGGAAACCTTTAGTCGTTCGCCCTTCGTCACTAAGTCATTCAAATTGTGAAAGACTGAGCCTCGTTCGCATCAAGAGGGATCAATCATTAGGTGTCGTTCCTACTGTCGAAAGCCCTTGTTCCAGTCACTAGAACAGCAGTGATCTCCTTCGGTTCATTGCGTTCCAATATGCCGACTCGTTGAACCCCCGTCCGGTGCTCGACGTGACACCGATCAGCTCTACATCCCGATATGCGCCAGCTCGTGCTCCGCGTGCAGGCGCACTTCGCACTCGATGCGCTGACGATCACTCTTGAACCTCAATGCCGTCGCCGAATGGCACCACAATCGAATTCCCACTTTGACTTGTCCATTCACGTGCAAACGACTAGATAGACGGCCGTGAAGCCCTCTCCGATGCCTCCCAGAGACCCCAGCTCCACACATGACGACGGTAGCTCAACTCGACCAGAAAGTCGCGGGTGCCGCTGTACAACACTTCCAGACCCGGATACGCTCGGACAGCAACAGACGACACTGTGTCTATTGCGTGCGAGACGGCACCAAAGACGTGGTCGACTTCAGCGAGACAGATCACCGCAAGTTTGGTCGGATACGAAGTGAGCAGCTGTCCTTGCCCAGAGCAGCGGCATAGCGATATACTCAGCACACGTGCATCCCACACTTTGACTCAGAATATATGTAGTGCACGACCTCTAGCTCCATGACCTCGCCAGACCTTCGGTCAATCACAGGCCTATCCCATCAGTTCCTCGTGGCTGGCTGCTTCAACTCCCTGGTACACGATCTCCCTACAGACTGCAAGCTGCAGCTGTCTCGTACCCGTCGCTACTGATCGCTCATCAGCAAACAGCTTCGTCTTGCGACACGAGGTGGAATCCCAGTGGTTCACTGTCGAAGCTGCTGCGACGTAAAAAAGAAATAGCGCCTCCGAGAGATCGTCGAGACGGACCTGAAAGCCAAACGTCTACACGAAGCGCGTGGAGTGCAACTTTGAGCACGGACTTTGTGCTGTTCGGAAGAGACTATCCACTGGACGTCGCAGGCCACTGAGATACCAATCTTCACCTAATTAAAGGACCGTCCGAGCTGACGAACGCTCAGTGCTCATCACAGACTTCGATTCGCGTGACGCCCCAAGAAATGCGCCACGTGCCGCACCGCAGCTGTTCGTCATCGCAGACGCTGCGGTCGAAACTGCGGTACTTTGTTGTCGAGTCCTTTATTTGACACCTGTGAGCGACACGTCGGCCAATGACTCACCAAAGAGCTCGTCGTCCTGCAGCAATCGATCGACTGGTTCGGAAAATCGTACGCAGCGGATATCGATGCATCGAACGGGCACAACGCCGTCGTCGGCTGTTTCGAACGGAGACATTGAGCTCGAGCAGCTGCTGACTGAGCGTGCGCATTGACAGGGCGATTGAGTGGTATGTACACCTCAAAGAGGTTCACCTAATTCGACGGTGTTGAAAAGGAGCAACAGCGATCGAGGACCAGGTTGACAATATGGTCGAGAGAGTGTGTGGACGGCACGCCGCGTGTGGGACGTTGCGCGTGACATGTTTCGTCATTTATCGGACAAGTGAGACTTTGGCGGTCGAATTGCACAGCGGGAGGAGGGATATTGTTT